AATTGCGATGTGTAGCGATTTAATCGCCATATATCGCGATTTTTAATGCGATAATATCTCGATGTATTGCCACCGATATAATCGCGATAACCAACCGGTAAAATCGCTATTTATCGCGATCGCTGCTACTTGGGAAGCGATGCTTTTGAATAGCTGCTGCATGATTACATTTTATTCATGGACTAACATTTTCATAATGAAAACATTGTGTGTATTATACTTTATTAGGTATAAGTTAATGTAAAATTTTATAAGGACCTATCTGGTCTGAAAATTTCAAGTGTAATTGCTATGTACATTTACATGAATAAAAAAAAAAAAAAAAAAAAAAAAAAAAAAAAAAAAAAAAAAAAAAATAATGAAAACATTGTAGGGAGACTTCATCCCCTTGTACCCCCTTCGTGTATCAATCCCTTTTTCGCATGTAAAAGCAGATATAAAGAGCGGTTGATGTGGCGAGGCCAGAGGCCATGGTGCATCACCAGCAATGGCAAAGTGTCGACCATGCAATCGTTCCAATATGTCTCAAGCAACTATCGACGACCGATTAACGGGGGACCTCGTCTCGGAAATTAGTTTCCTTTGGAATTTATGGTTGTCAAGTATCCTGAAACAGTTTTAATAAAGCGAGGAGTCCGAACGGTTGCCCGCCTTTCGTTAAATCGCGTACTGCCTCCGAAGTGACGCATTTAAGGCAACAATATCGGAGATTTTGCAACTTGCGGAACTAGACGGCGAAAGTTCATTGAGCGCACCATAAATTGAGCGCGTCTCGGTGCATCCATTTGTAAAAGGGGGGGAGGGAGGCAGAGTCAGCTCATTTCGTGAATTTCTCGTTTGATTGCACCGACCAATTTTATAATTCATCCCCTAAACGAAGAGTATTGCGAACTAAGGAGGTAAATCAACTGTAGAGGCCTATTCGAAACAAAGGGGTGGGTGCAAAATCGACAAAAATTCCCCCCTCATGGATGTTGACCAAATTTCAGTATGTAATTCCTCACTATGGGACACGCCTTTTCCCAAAATTTCAAGGCCTGAAACGAATTTCTCTCCGCGTAGCAGCGCTGCCAAGTTGAAAACCGTCGAGTTCCATATCTTTTGAACGAAAAGAGATATTGAGATACGGTTTGCGCTAAAATTCTCCAAAAATTGCGTTCTTTCAAAATATGTACTCAATTTGATCGTTTAGGTAATTTCAGATTGCAATGATGCCATTTTTCACACTTTTTTAAGGGTCAATTTTTTTTTCAACCCTAGTATATCGTCAAATGCCGGATTCTTAATTCGAAAAAAAAAAACTGTTCATTGTATTATTCGTACTTTTCCATTTCTTTTGATATATTATAGCTCCCAGGGGAACGATTGGTAAGGGAGATATGAGCAATTGAAGTTTACGCTCCGCGCGCGCCGACTGGAATCCGGGCGCCGCTCGCCGCTCTGAGTTAAAAATATGAGTATGTTGATAGTTCCAGAAACTCGGTGCGTAGAAAGCCGAATGGAAATTCTTCGCTTCCCAGACGAAGGAGCGTAACTGCATTCCAGGGTTGCAAAATTGACTCAAACAATTTAATTTTTACTAGATTGTATAAGTGGGATTTTTGTCGAAAGCTTTTGTAATTAATGCATGAGATCAGGAGAAAAATCGGTGAAATTTTCAGTCAAGGGTAACCGAAATTCTCTTGGTAAAAGTGCAATTAGTGAGGGGGAACTGGCAACACTGAAATGTAGTTAGTTATGTATGTTTATAATTCATCCCCTAAACGAAGAATATTGCGAACTAAGGAGGTAAATCAACTGTAGAGGCCTATTCGAAACAAATTAAAATATGAGTATGTTGAGAGTCCTAGGAAATCGGTGCGTAGAAAGCCGAATGGAAATTCTTCGCTTCCCAGACGAAGGAGCGTAACTGCATTCCAGGGTTGCAAAATTGACTCAAACAATTTAATTTTTACTAGATTGTATAAGTGGGATTTTTGTCGAAAGCTTTTGTAATTAATGCATGAGATCAGGAGAAAAATCGGTGAAATTTTCAGTCAAGGGTAACCGAAATTCTCTTGGTAAAGTGCAATTAGTGAGGGGGAACTGGCAACACTGAAATGTTGTTAGTTATGTATGTTTATAATTCATCCCCTAAACGAAGAATATTGCGAACTAAGGAGGTAAATCAACTGTAGAGGCCTATTCGAAACAAATTAAAATATGAGTATGTTGAGAGTCCCAGGAAATCGGTGCGTAGAAAGCCGAATGGAAATTCTTCGCTTCCCAGACGAAGGAACGTAACTCCATTCCAAGGTTGCAAAATTGACTCAAACAATTTAATTTTTACTAGATTGTATAAGTGGGATTTCTGTCGAAAGTTTTTGTGATTAATGTATAAGGTCCGGAAAAAAATCGGTGAAATTTTCAGTCAAGGGTAACCGAAATTCTCTTGGTAAAAATGGAATTAGTGAGGGGGAATTTGGCAACACTGAAATATAGGTACGTTCTTTCCCGGAGAAAAAGAGGAATTATGAGGAGTGTAAACGTCAAGAGGAGTGCGCGTACTTTTTATCAGGGAATTACCTTATTAATTATGTGCGCGAATTACCTTTCGATGCACTCGGTCGGAATGATCCATTTAATGAAGCTCGGAAAAGAATTCCTCTTCCATCAACTGACATTCCTTTGAGAAGAATCGGCATTTTTTCATTAGCTTCTTCTCTAAATTGACATGGTGAATAAACATGGTGAATTTTTCATGAAAAATGCTTAATGGAAATTATTCGAGATTGAAACAGAAATGTTTCCCAGTGTGGGATTCAAGAGGTCCTCATCTCAGTTAGTCTCGGATCGAGAGTTCGATCTATGTGTCTGAAATGTTGAGCTGGTATCACTAAATGGACCACTGGCTCATCCGTAAAAACTCCTATTTGCACGAGGAAACTGATGACACAAACGTGTTTCTAAAATAAACCTGAAAAGAGGCTCCTTATTGCAAAATGTGATCCAACTTACAGATAGCTTTTTTTTTTCTCTTTCTCTCTCTTAATCTTGGCGAGGGGCCGTCCCTAAATTACGTAACCCTCTAGGGACGGAGTGGGGGGCCGAGGCGAGCGTTACGCCATTTTGTTTTTACGTGTTCAATGACAGGGGCCTACATAAAAAATGCGTTTCAAGGGGGGAAAGGGGGGTCCAAAAATGCGAAAAAATCCAAAAAAGTGCGTTGCGTATTTTAGGGACGGCCTCTGATTTGCAACTCGGGTAATTCACTTCACGGTGTCGCGTCGTTTTATTGCCACTCTTATGCTTGTCCAGGGCCGGACTTACCTACTTGCCGCCCATGTGCCGCCTGTATTTTGCTGCCCCCTTCTCGTTCGTTTTGAAACATCAATAAAAACCAGCAAGTGAACGTGCTGGAGGAGGAGGGGTGCATAAGACGCGTTTATCTACTCGTGTTGAATACATTTTTTGCGAAAGCCCTGTCAACACTCCTAGCAAAACTTCACGGTAATTTGCCTCTCCATTTATAAGAAATGAACCAAAAAATTATGAAAGAACAAACATAAATGTTGTATAATAACTTTAACCTCCGCCGCTGCGCCGCGCTGATCGCACTGTGTTTGGCGCAATGCGTGGAGTATTCCTGCAGTCTTGTAGGCGCTATGCGTTTCACGCCAACCGCTCCGGACCGCACTGTGTTTGGCGCAATGGGTGAAGTATTCATGCAGTCTTGTAGGCTCTAATATGTGTTACATGCCGACTGCCGAGCCGAAGGCTTGTCCTTTTCATCTCAAGTCCTCATCATTATTCCAGCATTCATCTCTGCTCTGAGCTCCAGACAAAATTGCGTGTTTAGTTACTCTCTTAACTCGACTCATTAATGATGCTGTCTCTTGTATCACCGAAAAACGACAAAATTAGAAATGACTATACTCCTAGGAAAGAGAAATTTTGTCCCCTTTTCTCATTGATAATTTTTTTTTCTGAATCCGATTTTTTTCATACCCACATTTGAAAAAATTGCAAAATTTGGTGCCGTGGGCCGCGGCCCAAAAGGCCACCCCCCCCCCTAATCCGGTCCTGTGCTTGTCATTTACCTTTATCCTACATTTTTTGGGATAAACCCGACAGTCCACCCGGATTATCCTAATAGAAAAGTTTTCAAAAGTCCATTAGGAAACAAAAACAAACACCCTAGATCAGGCACTTGGTGTTTAGGTCCGGTGCGCACCTTTCAGAATTTCTCGGAAGCGCTTCCTGAGATTAACAATTGAAATGAGGATTCTCTCGCTCCCCCTTGCTTACGTCATTCTTGGTAATTATGCAACATTTTCTGCATCGCCAACCACCCAAGACCCTTGCGCTAACTGTTAACGACGCAGAATGAAATGAATCTCTCTACGTTTGATGATAGAAATTTCAACATGCTATCTTGCGTACCAACCTAGTTAAGGTACTGGTGCAATTATGCAAAATATTTAAAAGCAGAAATTAAACAACAGTTACATTTTTTTTTTTTTTTTTTTTTTTTTTTTTTTTTTTTTTTTTTTTTTTTTTTTGTAGTTTTTCCGGGAGAAAAAGTGGCGAATCTTTGCGAAGATATGACAATTTAAGAAACTTACTTCACCGGCTGTGGTAAACCAAAGTCGGGGATTTCGATTTCCATCCGTTTCGCACTACTACCCCAACATGGGGTAGGTTTCGGCCAGATGGTCCTCTAGTTGGTTAAACTATCATATGTTGGTTTGGCTCTCAATTTAAGTAGAATGCTTTGATCAGAAGCTGGCTAAGGAGATCGGGGACCGAGATCGAGTCGACCAACTAAACCAAACTCACGGCTGCATGTCTGCCCGGATAACGCCGGAATCATCCCCATTGAGGGATATTTCTCAGGCTGCAACACTGTGAGGTGTTGAGGTTTTGAGGTTGGAACTGTGCCTCATTTTAAGGCGAATGACTTTAGTTATATAGGAGTGAACTTTATTCCAGAGTTCTTTGGAGTCTAGCATGAGGGACATAATATTTTCAGGGAAAATTGTACTGTTTAGTTCTTTTTCGAGATTGGTTCTGAGATTTTTCACAGAGTCGCAGCCGAAGAAAGCGTGTTCCGGCGTATCCTCGGCAGACAGGCATAGGGCACATAAGGGGGAGGGAGTTAATTTAAATCTATTAAGGTAGCTATTAAAAGAACCGTGACCCGACATGAACTGCGATAAGAAGAAATCTGCTTCTCCATGGGTCCTCTCCATCCAGATTTGCAATGAAGGAAGGAGTCTATGCAGCCAGCGATCATCTTGATTTCCAGTACATGTCCAACGAGTATTCCATCTCCTGTTAATGTCTACCTCGATTTCCAATTTATCCTCTTCTTTTTTAATTTGGCGGAGTTTTCGTTCAATCAGCAAGTCCGTTGGGGGGATGTCCGTTAAAATATCCAAAACTGAGTTGCTCACCGTCCTGTATGCGCAGCATAACCCTCTTTTGAGCGGCCTGATGGTTGTTGTAATTAGTTTGATATTCTTTTTCTTGTTGCAACTTGCAGACCATATCTCTACCCCATACCATAAGATGGAAAGTATGGCGTATACGATTAGTCTTCTCTTCAAAAAAGAGGGCCCATCAATGTTTGGCATTATCGAGCGAAAGTGATTAGTCACTCTCTTCGCCTTTTCGCACACTGTCTTGAGGTGGTGGGACATGCTCAGACCCTTGTCTAGAAAGAAGCCAAGGTATCTGAGCGATGTCCCCACCTCTAAGATCTGACCGTCTACTGATATCTGCGCTTCTACCCGATCTTTCTTCTTGCCCTCCAAGATGAGTGACTCGGTCTTGCTGCGTTCCATTGTGAGATCTCTTTTCTTTAACTGCTTGTTTGTTTGTGCTGTTATCCTGTTACTGTCGTGGAGAAGGGTTTGCTTATTTTTTGTGATCAATACGATAAGCATGTCATCCGCGTATGCAATTTTTTCAGCATGAGGATCAGTTTTACTTTTAATTATAGGATCGTACACAATGTTCCAAAGAAGAGGGCCAATGATACTACCCTGGAAGCTGCCGGCGGTCACTTTAAAGATCAGGTCGCCAGATTCGACGTATCTCTCCTTCAGGTAACTCTGCATGATAGAAATCAGGTATTTGGGCACATGTTGTTTTTCCAGTTCTGAAATGATGTCGGTCCAGCGGAGGCTATTAAAAGCGTTCTTTACGTCGATGCCAATTAGGCAGAGCATGCTACGCTTGTTATAAGGGGTTTTCCGGTTATTTTCGTAAAGTTCTATAACCCATTTCATTGCTTGTACTGTAGAACGACCTTTGCGGAACCCATATTGTCTATCGGAGAGTGTGACCGATTCCAATAGCCTTTCCTGCAACACATATTCCAAAATCTTGGAAAATGCGTTCAGAATGCATATTGAACGGTACTTCTTTGGTTCTGTTGGTTTTTTCTTCGTTTTCTCCAAAAGAACAAGTCTCGCCTTCTTCCATTCCGCTGGAAACATTGAATTCTTTATCATATTATCTACCATAGATCTTACTTTCTCTAAGTTATTCGTAATAAAAAGCTTGACTAGAATTTGAGGTATTGCATCAGGTCCCGGAGATTTGTTCGCTTTGAGTTTTTTCAGTGAATTTAGGATTTCTTCCTAGGATACTGAAGGAATATCTTCTGTGTTGAACTCTGGCTTGGTCCACTCGTGTTCGGGATGAGCTGGAAATAGATCCTTGATGATTCCGATGGACTCTTCATTGGATATCGTACTGGTGTCGAAAGATATTGGGCTTTTAAGTTTCTTTGCCGCAATTTCATAGCCTTTATCCCATATATCGTTATCGAGGTCTAGGATCATCTCTTTCCATTTACTTCGTTTTGATTCTGTGATCTCCTTTTCAATTGATTTCCTGTTTTCTGAGAGTTTGACTTGTAGGATTGAGGTGGGTCTCTTGAGATTCCGCAAATGTCTAATTTTGGATCTAATTCTCTGATTGGCTTTATTTAGTTTTTTAATTTTTTGATTCCACCAGTAGACGGGTTTAAAGGCATTTTGATCCTTTCTTGAAAAAACTGCATCAGCACTTTCAGAGATAATTTTGGTGCAAGATTCTGGTGTTAGCGAATCGGTTTCTTTTTCAGTTCTTATCTTCACTTCTCGGCTGAAATCTTTATATTTAGAAGGGTTTGAGAACCAGCCTAAAGGTTTAGAAATAAAATTCGCCGTTCCTTCATTCTCCCTGTATGTGATAAGTACCGCTTTATGGTCGCTAAGGACTTCGTCGTCCATGACTTCTATTTTCAGATCCTTAAAGACATCCTCAGTAGCAAAGATCAGATCAATGACAGATTCTCCCCGGTGTCCAATGAATGTAGGAGTAAAATTGTCAGGGTCGTTAAGGCATTGGAGGTTGTTACTGACCATCCAATCATAGACAATTTTGCCTCTGTCATTGGTTTCAATGTCGCCCCATGAGGTCGATCTGCTATTGAAATCGCCGACTATGATCGTCTTCCCCATGTTCTCTTTCAAGATTCGTTCTATTTTCAGAAGAGAAAGTTCAAGCTCTTGTTTAGAGTCTTTGGAATTAAGGTAGCAGCAAATTATGGCAAGGTCTTTCCATTTAAAGTGGCAAAAATTTCTATCCTTGCCCCATCTGTCTGGTGCTTCAATCAGATGACGATTAGTTTTAACTGCTACTTTGTTGTCCTCTGATGTAAAATAGTTTTCTCTGATGCTATTCTTCATTTTAGGTTCTGTAAGGAGAATCATTCCTATTTTGTTAATGGAAGCTAAATTGTTGATGATGTCCATGCTATTGATTCTTTTCTTAGTATTACTAAGGATAGCTTTGAATCCTAGTTCTTTGTCCGATGTTGTGCTTCTCATAGTGTCCAAGGCGGATGGGGTGTAGGCATTATTGCAGGTCGACTCTTTAGAAGGCGTTTTATAAGGCCCTAGGGTTCCTGTAATGTTGTTTTTGATAAAGAATTTTATCTCTTCAGTTAGTTGATCTGATAAGTTACTGTCCTCATCTGATTCACCGAGTTCTCCGAAATAGTCAACGATATTTTCCTTGCGAGTTCTCTTTCGGTTCCTGAGTTGAGGTCCATGGTCGGATACATAGGGTAGAAAGTTATCTTCATCATCATATAAAGTGCGGAAAGAAGGTGAAGATAGAGTCTCGTCCTCCGTGTCTTCTTAGCAGTTACACATGAATGAATGTTAAATACCAATTTTTGGGGACTTTTCCTCCTATATTGCATCGCCGTAGATACATTCCCGATAATCTGTAACGGAGGTACGGAATTGCGTTTGACATTCAATTAAAGCAGGACATAACTCAAGATATTTAGTTAGAAGTAATAACAATAAATTATTTCACGTCTATTTCGTATTCTTCGTATGTGACTCGGGGGTGCGCCTGCTGATCGCTTTGCGGTACAACCCCCCAGGCGCTTCGCGCCTCTAAAATATAAGAAAAACAAATTTATAAATCCCAAATTTTTGGGCAATCTTCATTACAAATCCAACTATTGGAATATATCATAGAAAGCGATAGGTTTGCACCGGAAAAACTCAGGCATGAAAAGGAGGGCACCACGAGAGTATTTCAAGTACTTGAGTATGCACGAGTAAACGCCTCTGAATGTCAGCAAAGTTCAGACGTTCTGTTTGGTTCCGTTTCTGTTTGGGGGCGAAACTGGAGTACAAAAGTTAAGTTTAATCTGAATTTCAACCAGTGTAATTCCTGCTCCGCTGAGGACCTTCAATTTATCCAACTCAACAGAGATAACAGTGTTTTTGGCAACGAGTTTGAAGTTCAGGCTGACTTTTTTGTGAATCCTTCAGGTCTATTAGACTGCTCTGAAAAAAAATTCTCGGCGTTTTTACCAAGGTCCGTTGGTACCTTTACCGTCTCACTTTTTTTACCAATTATTGGTAATGTTACCAAGACAGACTGGTAAGCTTACCTAAAAACCGGTATTTGTACCGTTTTTTTCAGGTAAGAATACCACTTTTATTGGTAATCAATTCCCGGTAACTTTGCCATTTTATCTCGGTAATTCTACCGCAGTCGATAAAAAATATTGGCGTTTTTACCAAGGTCCAGTAAAATTACCGAAAAAGTTCAAAAATTTTACCGAGATTTCTCGGTAAAATTACCAATTCCATAAATGGTAATTTTACCAAGAAAGAACTGGGATCAAATAGAACCCTGAATTGTTGGTAATTTTACCCTTTTCTTAGTAAATACACCGAGATTTTTTTTTCAGTGAGGCTGACTTTTTTGTGAATCCTTCAGGTCTATTAGACTGATGCGCTGTTTCTCGCATTCACATTTTTTTTTTTTTTTTTTTTTTTTTTTTAAATAAACCAATTATTTATTTTAGTTATTTGACAAGGTGGAATGAAATGGGACAGGATTTCACCCGAAGGCCTGTGTTAACATGTTAAATATAAAGATCCTAATTTACATTTTAAAATTGATTCCCCCCTATCCCTTGGAAGCTTATTATATATCTTAATATTAATTAATTGAGTTCTTGAGATCCTCAGTCTCTTCGGTTATTGCGTTCTTTGGTCATCCTCGGTGCATTCACATTGTAAACTTTTATTTTTTTTCCACTTAAAATCTGAAATCCCATTCAATTTTCTTCTGGAATGAGCCTTTGTACACTTAGGCTGATTGAGCAAAGAGACAACGACTTTTGGAATTCTCGTTTGATTGAGCAATCCCGAGCGGTAATTCCAGGGAACACTAAAATTGGATGATTACGTCGTTTCCGCGAGGATACAGTGCGCTGCGCCGACCCTTATTTTTATCTCAGTTTCATTGCGTAAAGCAAGGCTACAGCAACGGGGATCATTAGAATATGACTCCGTAAACAAACTCTCTCGAAATGCACAGTTTTACGTAGGTACCAGATTCTCTCCGTCCAGTCATTATTTTTTATTGACATATTTATTTTCTGCTTTTCAATTTGCACTTTGAATAGAACCAGACGGCTTTGCGCCCCCTTATCATCCGGCGTGCTGGAGATGCGATTTGCACGCAGTGAAAGCACCTACAGAGTATATACCTTCGTCGCGCTCAAAGGAAATGAGTGTTTTATAACTGGACGTTTATCTGCCAAACGGAACTATGTGCATTTAGACATGAGCCCTGAGACCCTTAAGAATATATATGTTACGGGCAACGTCCGGGTCTCGGGCACCGTCGTCAATGCCCGGTCACTGACGACAGTGCCCAACTCGCCTGGGCATCGTCGTCAATGCCCGGACATTGACGACGGTGCCCTCGAAGTGCTTTAAACGGTCGGGCAAAGATTGGGATCGAGAGAGTAAGGCAACCATGCCCGGGCACTGACAACGATGCCCAAGGGTTATCGGGCACCGTCAAAATGAAAAATAAGTGAGATGAAAATAATGACTCACCTATTTGTTAGTGCAGGATTGGGAGTTGTGACAGCGTGAATTGCACAGCACATTTCGCGCTCGACAGGAACACCGTTTCGTTGTACATTTTTGGCGGCAGTCACATTTCTGCATCCCTTGCCCGCCGGATACGGATGCAGAAGATACGATTTGACGCAAACTTTTCTCTGTGCTAGGAACAGACTCCAATGGTACGAGGTCAGATGAGCACGGCGTGAACTGGGACCTAGTGTACAAACAGCGGATGACATGACGCCTTCCGTTGTTCCTAACTTATAAAATCCGTCCTTTTCCTCCAATACCACTGCCGTAACATTTCGGGAGTCGGTGCGGGAACGATCTACAGCGGGAATGGGCACAAGGACTGTTTTCCCTACGGCAACAGGACTGAATTTGGCATCAGATGGCTTCTTCATTTTATTGGCCTGAACCTCAAGGTTTTGTAGAGCAACACGCCTTTTTCTAAGTATGTTGTTGATGTATGGTTCAGAAGTAGGAGCTGTTTCAGAAGTAGGAGCTGTTTCAGAAGTAGGAGCTCTTTCAGAAGTAGGAGCTCTTTCACTTCTTTCAGAAGTAGGAGCTGCTTCAGAAGTAGGAGATCACCTACCGTGGCCCGTTGCCCGCGGCAACGTTGCCCAATGGTGCGCGGGCATCGTTGCCGCTGCCCGCCAAGGACGGTCAATGCCCGGGCATTAATGCCTCAATTACATTGTGGAGGACGATGCCCAAATCGCGCGGGCACCGTCGTCAATGCCCGGTCAATGACGACAGTGCCAACGCCACTTGGGCACCGTCGTCAATGCCCGGGCAAAGACTGACTTTGCCCGAGACCAGGACGGACGCGGACGACTATGGTCCACAGACCCTATTTAACGGAACTTTAGTCAAATTTTGAGGGTGGAAAAAATTAAAGTTTGGCACTACAGTTTTATCATACATATTCTCATGGATCGTCACCTAAGTTTTCATCGACTAATAATGATTTATAAGATTGTGACGGACCCTAACAACAGAGCGCGCGGTAGGTCTTCATTAGCTGATTGTGAGCCGCATTCGGTGGTGCGTTACAGGGTGTTTATTTTACCGAGTTACGCCTCATCTATGTAAATTTTTGGGCAACATGGATCCACCTGATGGCAAGTGACTTCCTTTTCACCCCGTTTCATTAATTTTGAACCGAAATTTGTATGCTTTTGAACGCTCCAAACATACGCCAAAAAATGCTAGAAATCAGTGAAATTCGTAATTTTTAGGAAGCTCTAACTTTTTTTTAATTCTAGTTAATGCTTTGCGGATTGAAAAATCTTGTTCAACATATCCTTGACTTTAAAATGATGCCAATTTAAATTGCGCCTTTTTGCGCCTAACGGTCGAAATTAATTTTTTTCGGAGTGCACCTCCGTACATCAAAATGTGGAATATTCCATGCATTTTTGGCGTTTTTGCGACTGTAAAATTTTTTCTAGGTACAAAATAAAAGTATTCCGATGTATTTTGATCTACTGAGTCCGAAAATGACCTTTGTTTTTTCTTATCACCTCTCACTTTTCCGAAAAAGCAACTTTTCCCCCGGAAAATGAGCAATTTTGACGTATTTTTGTCATAATTGAAATTCATGTTGATAAATTATACTGGACCCGTGATAAAGAGATTCTGTCATGTATATTAAGCTGCTAAATCCGAATATGACATAGGTTTTGGTTTATCACCCTCCAGTTCTCCGATAATGCCGATTTTTCCGCGCCTTTTGGGTAAAACCTTTCCCGGACTCTAAGTGTGTTAAAAATACGGCTTAAAATTGATTTTGATGTTTGATATATCGATTCTTATGTATGTTGACTTGCTAAACCCGAATATGACCTTAGATTTTTCCTATCACCCCTCATTATCCCGGAAAATTCAATTTTCCTCGGAGAACGAGCTTTTTTGGTATTTTTGCGACGATTTTCCGTATTCTGAGGAAAACGGGGGGTTGTAAGAGGCAATTTGAGGTCGAACTCCGGTTGAATGTTTCTTAAGACGTCAGAGAAGACCTAAAGAGGAACTTGGAAAATCGCTACAACTCCATAGAATAGGAAAATTGGCGCAAAAATACCGAAAAAGCTCGTTCTCCGAGGAAAATTGAATTTTCCGGGATAATGAGGGGTGATAGGAAAAATCTAAGGTCATATTTGGGTTTAGCAAGTCAAAATACATAAGAATCGATATATCAAACATCGAAATCAATTTTAAACCGTATTTTTAACACAAGAGTCCGGGAAAGGTCTTACTCAAAAGGCGCGGAAAAATCGGCTTTATCGGAGAACTGGAGGGTGATAAACCAAAACCTATGTCATATTCGGATTTAGCAGCTTAATATACATGACAGAATCGCTTTACCACGGTTCCAGTATAATTTATCAACATGAATTGCAATTATGACAAAAATACGTCAAAATTGCTCATTTTCCCGGGAAAAAGTCGCTTTTTCGGAAAAAAGAGAGGTGATAAGAAAAAACAAAGGTCATATTCGGACTCAGTAGATCAAAATACATCGAACTAGTACTATATAGTACCTGGAAAAAATTTTACCTACATGTTACAGAGGTCAACAGTCGCAAAAACACCAAAAATGTCCATTTTTCCGGGTAAAATCGGCTTTTCCGGAAAATTTAAGGGTGGTGGACCAAAACGGAGGTCACATTCGGATTTATCGCCTAAAAATAAATGAGAATAGTCTGATCTCGACGGAGAGACACTTTTGTTATTATTTTTATACATGTCAAAATAGGGTGGAAAAAATCTTCAGTCTTAAAAGCGCCAAAAATCACATTTGAGGTTAAGTTTCTCGGTCAGGATGTTAATATTTTGTTAAACTAAGATGTAAAATGAAATCAGCGACCCAAAAAACATGAGATCCAACACCTTTTATAACGGTGCAGTGCATTTTCGAATAAAGTTCCGTTAAATCCAGTCTGTGGACCATAGTGGGACGTTGCCCGTAACATATACATAATAGGGCTCACGCCATAATGCACTTAGTTCCGTTTGTGGCAGAAATGCGGCCAACTGAGGCGGAATGAGTGATGAATGAACGCAGATGAATATTTTCCGATTTTATAAGACCCCGCGTGCTGTGCTTTTTTCATTTTATAGAGCCATCTCACCTAAGTCATCTGCCGCGTGACAGGGCTGCCACTTTATTTGGGGACTCTAAAACTGAAAACACGGCAACCCTGCTAATGTATTTGCTCCCTATCTTTGCATGGAGAGTTTGTCTCAATGTAGAAGTGGACTCTCAGGATAGCGTAGGATATCCCCTCCATTTTGGCCTCAACTTGAGAACTTTTTTTGAGCTTGGGAGTTGATTGCGGAGAAAATTAGTGGGGACCATCGTGTTTCTCGCGAACTTTTACGTACGAATCAATGGTCAAACCGCAAATTCCTCACACATGCAACATCTCCATTCTCTGGTTGGTTTTTTTTTTCTCACAACACCCAATGTAGATAGATCCCTTGCATGTGCGGACATTGTGACCAGGGTGATTTTGTGTGTGTTTCAGGAGGCGTGGCAAGGAATGTGGCTGGGCGTGACGTCATTGGCCCTGGTCGTGAGTCTCTGCTCGGCGAGTTCGTCTGAGTTGGTGCTGGGCTACCTGACAGGGTCGCGGCGGAAGGAGGGCGATCAGGTGTACGAGCGGCCCGGGCTCCAGATTTCGGCTGCCCTCCCTCTTTCCATCCGCGACGTCAACGAGCGGCTCCTGGCCCAGCGCAACGTCTCTCTCCGCTTCCGGGTCGCCGAGACTTTCGGCGAGGAGACACTCAGCATCCTGGAGACGGCCCAGCTTTGGCGCGAGAACATCTCCGCGTACATTGGACCTCAGGAGACCTGCGTCCACGAGGGCCGACTCGCCGCCGCCTTCAACATCGCCATGATCTCCTATGTAAGTTACATCATAATAATCTATAATGTCATGTGTAGTTTTCTAAGAAGAGAGAAGTCTAAGAAGAGAGTCCAGAGAATGGCAGGAGACAGGTTGCCGAAGAAGGTCCTTGATTGGGTTCCTCCTGGGAGAAGACGCAGAGGGCGCCCAATGAAAGGTTGGAGGGAAGGGATTGAAGCGGAAATGTTAAGGTGCTCAATCCCCCAAGATTTGTGGTTTGAAAGAGAGCAGTGGAGGTTAGGAGTCGTAGAGCGCGAGGGAGTGCTGTAAAGCGACTTATACAGGGTGTACCAAAAGTCCGTCCCACCCCTGCTAACTTTTGAACGAATTGAGCTAGGGTAATGAAACTTTGGGAATGTTCTTATCTCAAAGGGGACCATCTTTTGGGGGGGTCAAAATTTTGGTCCCCTTTCAGGGGGGGCGCGGGGGGCCCCCAACTTTTTTTTTCAAATGGCAACCCCTATCTTGTGATACATCATTCGAAAGAGCATAAAAAACTAAGAATTTTGGCGCAAACCGCAGATCAATATCTTAATTTTTGACCGAGTTATGATAGGTCAAAAGTCAAATTTGACCTATTTTCAAAAAATCATAACTCCGGTTCAAATTATCGTAAAGAAAAAAATAAAACGGGAAAATTTACCAAATTGTGTCCGCTTTTAAGTAAAAATTGCAGAAATCACTTCGCTGTAATTTTAAGGGGGGGCTCGGACCCCCAAATACGTCAATTCAAAGGTCATTCAATTTTCCCGCGAAAAAAGGCAATTTCCCCTAGATTTGCCTCCACATTATCTCAGTAAGGTCAAAATTAGTTCAACATTACGTTGGCAAGTCCCCAAATTTCGGGAAAAGTTTCAAAAAAACGAAATTTAAGGTGATTAAATTTGACCGTTTAAATTTCGTTTTTTTTTAACTTTTCCCGAAATTTGGGGACTTGCCAACGTAATGTTGAACTAATTTTGACCTTACTGAGATAATGTGGAGGCAAATCTAGGGGAAATTGCCTTTTTTCGCGGGAAAATTGAATGACCTTTGAATTGACGTATTTGGGGGTCCGAGCCCCCCCTTAAAATTACAGCGAAGTGATTTCTGCAATTTTTACTGAAAAGCGGACACAATTTGGTAAATTTTCCCGTTTTATTTTTTTCTTTACGATAATTTGAACCGGAGTTATGATTTTTTGAAAATAGGTCAAATTTGACTTTTGACCTATCATAACTCGGTCTAAAATTAAGATATTGATCTGCGGTTTGCGCCAAAATTCTTAGTTTTTTATGCTCTTTCGAATGATGTATCACAAGATAGGGGTTGCCATTTGAAAAAAAAAGTTGGGGGCCCCCCGCGCCCCCCCTGAAAGGGGACCAAAATTTTGACCCCCCCAAAAGATGGTCCCCTTTGAGATAAGAATATTCCCAAAGTTTCAAAATTCGCTCAATTCAAAGCTCAATTCGTTCAAAAGTTAGCAGGGGTGGGACGGACTTTTGGTACACCCTGTATATATGTATCTTCCAAGGACAATGTAGGAAGACTTCTCACTGCGAACACTTGTGAGAACGGATGACGTAAACCTTTTTACACTACATTACTAACGACGCTGCAGCCCGGGGTGGACTTTGGCCTCCAAGACGACGCGTCTCCATCCTATCACTTTCATAACTCTAAGATCTTTCTTTACCTCATCTTGCCATCTTAGCCTTGGCCTTCCTCTCTTTCTATGACCTAAACCTGCCGGGCGATTATTGAAATTTAGTATTTGTAAGGTGAATATAGATGTTACAGGTGAAATGACGGGGTGTGATTGGTCGGTTGTGTCTTATCACTGCTCTATCGTAGAGAACCTTGTATAGGGAGAATGGCCACTGGATCCCATGGAGGGGCTTAGGGCCAAAAATGGAGGCCTTTTGTTTTGGTTTTTGAGGACGGGAGGGGGGGAGGGGGGTCACTGTCAACTTCTTATCTGCAACCGCACTTGCTGCCACCTTTATTACATTGAAGATGACTTTTCTCGAAAAGAGCACACGATTAGCCGTAAGCCTCTGTAAATACCTCTTAATACTGCATTTGAGTAAAGTCCTTTGTTGCGATTCGCAAATAAGATTACATTTTGAGTCATTTTGTCATGGGAACGGAGTTCCCCATGATATTACAATCGTTCCGTTGCTATCGCTATGGGATTCCCTATGCCTCTGCGACCTTGAGCGTTTCGCCCAGTCTTCGATTTTTGGTTGATTTTCCGATGTATCAAAAACCGTTGTATTTTTTAGCCAATCATGTCTCTACGTCAAGTTGTGTTGATTTCTAAAATTCGCTTTCAGCGAGTTTTTTTCCACCTTGAGATGTCGTGCCTGACTGGTAAATCTGCGCAGAACCACGAAGTTCCGATTTTGGGCAAATTCTTTTTTTTGGGAGGTTCTGATTGGTTATTTTTCGCCATCAGTTTTCTGTTCGTTGGTGCAAAAGATCGCCTACCTCGGTGCTCTTGAGAAGCCGCCATTATCCCACCTCAAATTTGAAAAATAGAAGTAAAGAAATAATAACTATCGTACAAGGTTGAAAATTGTTCTGGAGAACTCGTTACGAACAAAGAAGCCAAAATCAGAGCTCGATTGATTGATTTAATTCATGGATAAACAAATATCGCCTCAGCTTACTGCCGCGATGGCAAATGCATGCCGAGATGAACCCTGAGAGACATGAAAACAGTGCGAACCATGGCTCCTACAGCAGTGCGCTTAGCTCATTTCTCTCATATCCCAAAGCGTCAAGGTCTCTTGTGATAAGTCCCGCCCATTGCCCGAGTCTTTTGTATGCTATTTTTACTCTCTCACACGCCGATCCGTTATAGCCTAGTTGACTAAGCCGCCTCATATTTTTGATTAGGTGCGGGCAATAGGCGATTGGGAGTTCGATACCCGACGATGGGTGTTACTTTTTAATGGTTGTATTGAATGTTTTAGACTAATCATCAAAAAATAATTAATACTAGATGATAAATGTACGAACATTTTCTCGTGAGTTAATATGTTAAACAAAAATACTGGAATATACCTCCTTCATATAATCAGCCACATGTTCCCCCAAATTAATGACGTTATTTTCTTTTTTCAATAAAGTTAATTTGCATTCAACGTTCGTAAGTTAAGCAAAAAGTACCTATTGATACAAATAGAAAGACATGAAAATAGTATGTCTAACATTTCAGTTTTTTTTTGTTTTTTTTTTATTATTATTATTATTTTTTTTTTTTTTTTTTTTTTCAATAAAACAAATTGACTGGGACTAGAATCATGGTATCTCTGAAGACAAAAGCTAAGTTTTTTGATACAGAAATACTAATATATTCATCCTTTATATAATCAGGGAGATGTTGACCCAAATATTGATGTATATTTTCTCTGTTCGCCCAAATTAATGATGGTATTTTCTTTTTTCAATAAAATTAATTTACATTCCACGTTCTTAAAGCAATATTTTCTCCAAAATTCAGCAAAAAATAACAATTTATACCTACGCAAAAAGTAAATAAATAAATAAAGCAATGACATGAAAGTAGTATAGGTAGTACACATCTAACATTTCAGTTGCATCTATTTGAATGAAAAAAATGGCAACCTAGGAAGCACATAGGTCACTTATGATGCGTATTCGGGCATATGCGTAGAGTAAAAATATCATACTTTACGCCGAAAAAACGAAACTGAAAGTTAAATGCGTTAACTTCCAAAAACCATACATAATCCAACGAAAATAAATAATTGGTAAATAACAGCTTTCTTGTATGCAAAGAAAAAAAAATTAAAAATGTTAAAAAAGAGATGTCGACACAAAATTACATAGCCCCTTCAATTCTGAAGATACTACAAACGAACTGTATAACATTTTCATATCCCAGAAGCAAAAGTTCCCATGACGAATATTGCTATCGCTAGCGATTGCAAAAACCAACTTGTTGTATTTACATTTACTAACAGTGCACGCCATTTATGGGCCCTAGAAGGCTCCATCCAGGTTCAGACGGCTGAGCCAATTAGACGTGGTGACTGAAGTGGCCATACTCTCCCTATAAAGGCCCTCATCTGGGGTAGACTTTTCAGAGGTTAAAATAATGACATAAAAATCACGGAAGCCACGTAAAATAGTCGCTGAAAAACTCTGAATGTATGCACACATATCCCCGTTGTTTGTAGGCCTGTCCATTTAATTTTACAGTTAATAAAAAAATAACGCGAATGACTTGTAATACGAAACGAGTCAGCAGTGAGGAGTAAACCGAAGCACAAAATAATGCACCCAATAACCACTCTGCCGTTCTAAGGACTAACGCCGTATGAACCTTCAGGCGTTGCCAAATTATCTTCGATAAAAGACGAATTCCCTGGTAAACTTATGAATATTTCTCTTCCAATTTTTTAGAGAATATTGTTTGTATGTTGGTCTAAAGTTCCTGAAAATTTCAAGGAAGAATATTCATAATTCTCCTCATAAATAATCATTTTATCAAAGGAAATTTGGCAACTCCCGAATGTTCATACGGCGTTCTTCCTTAGCACGGCAGCACTAGCCTTTAAAAACAGCTTGCATCGTTCCGCGTCGCTCTCCGACTTGGAGAGGGCGGAAAGTCGAAGCTCAATCTCGTGTAATAGGGCCGAATCTCAGCGGTCGCTCCTCGACGAACATCCTGCTGTTTTTTTAATGTCCACCGCAAAGCATAACGCCGTTGCATTTCTTTGAGCGACTCAATTCCTGAGCCCGCCCCTTCTCCGCCACTCCCCGCCCACGACGGGAAACGATCGTCTGTCAAGTACACGTCTCCCCTTCCGGTGGGACTTTAATCGCACTCGCAGCGGAACTAAAGTGAACGTTCGTATTAAACCCCAGTTTTTTCTTTTAAGATCATGTTAGCGAGGAAACGTTATCGCGTCGCCAAGAACAAACTCCCTTCGCTTAAGTTTGCTCCTCGATAATTTCCTGACACCAACTCCGAGATGGTAAGATGCCGCACGGTGGATCGAGTCAATCAGAGAGGTCGGACATGGAATTTTTAACTAAAACTGCGAATTCTCATGTTTATTTCGTCACATTTTAAATTTTAAGGCGTGCTCTTAGAAGAAAATTTCACGACATAACCCATGAAACCACTTTTAGTACCTCGAAATTTAGTATAAACGGAGTTATAAGCTTTTGAAGTTTCCAAATTTTGTCCGACCTCTCCTATTGACTCGGTCCGATGTGTGCCGTGTTGCAAATTCTCGGGATCAAGCTCGTAAATGAATTCGTTTAATGATAGAAATAAAAGCCAAACCATTAAACTTAGATTAAGTGTTTGAGGCAACGGCTGTATTGCTCATGTAGTGTTTAAAGTGCCAGTATAAATAAGGCAAACGGAACCAACACAGCATTGAAATAGAGCAAGGGAAAGGGTGCGCGCTGATGACGGCGCAGAGATACAACTATTCGTACTTGATGGATGTCCGTGTTGCGTCTGCAAAATTGAAGGCGCCATTGCGCGAGACGTGTGCACGCAGTGCTCTGCTCTATGCTGTCAATGAAGTTTCGCTCAGATTTCTGATCCTCCCGAATCTGGAGGACTCAACGGAACCGAAATACGGAAACGCCCCTGATAATAAATCCAGTTTCTTTTTGTAAACAGCTTCAAAAACCAATTATGCATTTAAAAAGCTGTGTACAGTTGTTTTATACAATGCGGAATGTGCACAGTAGAAAATATAATAAATAGTAATCTAATGTATAATGTTTACTGCTTTTAAATGAGAAACTGATTTTTTATTTTCGTCTAACGAAGTTTTCTCGTTTTCTAGAAAAAGTAATTTTGAGAGGAATTAATATTTCGTTGTTTCCAAGGTTGAATTCACGTAGACCTTTCAGCAAGATTTAGTTTCAAGTTTAGGGATAAGTCGCCATAAATTCTCAATCTCTTGCGCTTCGATCTTTCAGTCTTATTACCTTGATTATATTGAAAGATATTTTCAGTAATTCTTTATGAACCGAAGATACGTTCGGAATGGAGTAATTTTTCCGGATTCGATTTCTTTATTTTCAAATATTTTAAATGAGAAGATGTCAAGACGTTGCCATGTTATGAATTTAGCAAAATTTGAGATATTCTTCATTTTCCCCCAGATGTGCAGTGACGTAGAGGTCTCGGACAAGGAAAATTTCCCTACTTTTGCGCGGACCATTCCTCCGATCACTCGAATATCAAAATCAGTGGCTGCATTGCTCAAAAAATTCAACTGGACTCAGGTAAAACAATCTATTAAAATAAGGATTCATCGACTGCACAGCAAAGGGTCAGTCTTTAATGGAATGTAAAATTTTAATGCGATGTCTGATGTTATTTATATTATTGCCAGCTTAAGAAAATCATAGAATCACAGCAACCGCATGCAAAAATTGTCTGAGGTGTTACGTTAATGTCTTATGTATTGTTAAGGGACATGCAAATAAATTTATTAACCAACCATTCATTTCTTAAAGGCCGAATGCACGTTTAAAGGTGGGCGTCAGCGTGATAACTGTTCAACACTGTGCTGACTGTTAAATTGCAAAAGAAAATCGGCCCGCACTACTTTGAAGGTAACCGATGGCAAACACTTTGCTTATCACTCTGAACCTCTACTTTGAGCGCGTATTCAGCCCTTTAGGGACCGCTCAGTGATGGATCACTTGATGGACACACCATTGATACTTGAACTGAAATATAAAGATTCGATCTATAAATCTGGATGAAAAATCAAGAATTGAGATTTCTTGTGATTCAAATAATGCGATGGGCATCACATATCCCAATTTTGCAAGGATTTCACCTGATTTTTCTAAATAGAGCTGTTTTTTAATGTCCTCGTCAGATTCTTACCGGCAGAAAATGAGAAATGCTAAAAATATGATTGAATGGTGCTGCTAAGATTATGACATCTTTTCAAATATGTCATTATTTCCATGCGAGACATACGTAATATAATTATATTAAATATCATTTTCAGGTAACTTTCCTGTATTTGGACTCAGCCGAGTTGAAAGTTGTGAAGTATAGAAAAATTGCTACTGCCATCATCGCTGTACTGGAGAAGGCTGGTATTTACGTTAGAATGAGACGGACCTGGGAGTCATATCACTACATTTACGATGCAATAAATCCCTTCTCCCAAATCGTCGAGGAAACTTTCGAGGAAACTAGAAGTATGTGAAAAGTACGAATTTTCTCTTTTCGTTGTTTCTCTTTTTTTGTTGTTGACACTTACAATAATAAAAAAGACAAACTTGAAAGTCATTATTTTCTCCACATGGGACATTTCATTCAAAGTTCAAGAAAATCAATTTTTTTTAAACAAAAAATTGCCAACTAAATTATTTCCTTTTGTGAACCGGATTAAAACTATTAAAACCGGCTTAAATTCAAGAACTTTTATAAAACTTTATTCTTAGAGAAAATGAGTGAAGTTGTGGCGTCTTTCAATTCTAAAATCTCCGGATCATTTATTCAGGAATTTAAAGGGTAAAGATTTTTCACCCTTGAAACATGATGTGATTTCGTATGTCCGAATATTGCTCCCACCCTAGCCAGTGGCATAACCGGGGGAGGTGTTTCAAATAATCCAGGCCTTACCCCTTTAACCGGAAAATTTCACCTAAAACGACATTTTTCGTGAATTTTAGGAAGGCACCCCTCCTCCCCGGCCCCTCCTGTGAAAAATTTCCGACTACGCCGCTGAATCTGGCAGTAGGTTGAAGTGCTTCTAACTTTCTAAGTTTGATTTTTTAAAAGTTCATTTTTATCAATGATGGCAATACTTGCCTGGATACTGTGATGACTCACATGATAACCACTTGATTTACTCGACTTTACAAAAATTTCGGCAACCTTTACTACTGGCCCAGAGCTCCGCCTTTCGATATTTTTTCAGGATATGCACCTGTTCCTTACCATTAACCGAACACAATAGACGCTATTTGTTATGTTCAAAGTCATAAGTCCAAAGGGGCTCAAATTCACTAAGCCGCTTTTTGCTTTAGGGCCATTCGTCCAAAAGGGCTCAAATTCTATGAGCTAATATCTACCTTGTTCATTATCCCGCGAATAGAGGAAGAAATATACATGCGCAGTTATGGATCAATTTTAAACAAATCTAAAGGGATCACTGACTCCTGAATCAAGACTGAGATTGTTATTTGAATTTCAAATACTGCTTTTCCGAAGACCTCTCTGCGATCCATAAAATATTCGAACAGACTACTCTTGCCTATACGGTTGCCACACTAGCAAGCGGTAACTCTCAATAACATAGAACAAAGCGGCAAGACGTAACAGTCAATAGATAGAAGTTGGTTGATGACACGATCAGCCAAGGTGGTGTCATGACGGCGAATTACGCAGAATATTCCTACTACATTGATGGTGAAACTCCATGAAACTCCCAAGACACGTATCTCGTTCGCGGTGTTTGAAAATTTTTACTCCGATTTTATTTTTTTTTCTTTCTTTTAAGGACAAACAAATTAGCATCGTTCCTTGAAGTTTTCTCAGAATTTTCTTCGGTTTTAGAGGAAAAATCGCGGCAGTTTTCGAGAACTGCCGTTGAGTCGTTTCTGTTGAATGAATAAAGTATGACAGGAAGTCTGCAACGTCGCAAATCGAGAAACGTGGTTTAGGAGTTTCACCGTTGATATGTATCCAGAGGGAAAAATCTTGCATAGACCATGATTTCCATCATACAGTTAAGCTGCTCGGCGCAACACAAGTTGGAGCAACTAGAAACAGCATAATTTTTATTAGTTCCTCTTTGCGTATTGTTCTCTTCATGGACAAGTTAGAGATAGTAGTTTCTCATTGCAAAATGTAGTGCATTTAGAATCTAATGAGGCCCATCGAAGTTCATTTGGCATGCATTCATTCATTCATTCATTCATTCATTCATTCATTCATTCATTCATTCCGAGTCAGGTTTGCCTCGAGTGCCTTGCACTCGAATTCTGAGTTAGTGCTACTCGAAACAGTTTTATTCAAGTAGTAATCAAGTTCTGTTTGCGCCCAGCTCGCATACATGGACCATGTAGACACCCGTACCCGTCGAGCAGGGAGGGATAATGGATATATCACTTTTCTGTATATACAGGTGCAGTCCTTGCCCGAGACACTCATACAAAAAAAAAATAAAATAAAAAAATAAATTAAAAAAAAACGTTTAAAATAAAGGAAACACAAAATATATAATACGTTTTTGCGTCAATTCTGCGTGGCCCTATTTCAGAAATACGTTCACCTTGAGTTATAAGCATGCTGCCTTCGAGTGAGTGCCAAAAAAACTTAGAAATCATTCGAAAAACAGAGTTAATCATTATCATGACGGGATCAATTGATGTATACTTATTTCAAAGCTAAAGTATAAATAAACTTGGGGTCATACTTTGCAATCAAGAATTTTCTCTAAAAATGGTCACGGCTACTTCTAATAACAAAATATCGGGGGGGGGGGGTTCTTTTTTGTTTTTCATATTTTTATCTTATCAACTTGAATCATCCCTCTTGCGCTGAAAACATTAGGCAACTATGTTTTGACCACAATTAGTCCATAGAGCACGAGGCTCTTATGTAATATGAAATTGGCGGTATCTGTTTTAATCTGGGCTTGAAATAGCTCGGTTTGGTACTAAGTGATGCATGAGGAGGGTAATCGAGTAGGTGATTATGCCGTGCGGTGAGGTGCAGTGGGGAGGCGATGAAAATCTAATAGGTCCTGAATTTGAATGAGCACCGTCTGCTCTACCTTAACAGCCACCTGCCGCACAGTGCACCCGGCCACGGATGAGGTTTCCTTAAAATCGTCGTATCCAAAGCCAGTTTTACAATGCGTAAAAGCCTTTCCTTCATTCATGACAATTCCTCTCACAGTAAAGAATTAATACGAGGGGCGTTCAATAAGTAAGTATCCCCCCTCTCTAAAATCCATTTAAATGGACCAATTTTAAAAAACTTGGGCTCAAAATCTTCCTTAGGATATTTTGAGTTCAACAAAACAAACCGCAACAAAATCGGACTATGTGCGGCCGAACGCGAGCCGTTTGAACGCGCCGAGGTGCTCGACGCTTCCGCCGAATCTGCGGGGATTTGAAGTCCGCGACAGGAGAAGAGCTTCTCTACCAAAGCCTCAGTCGTTCATCACTGACGAAAAATCAAAGAAATTTTTGTAGAATAAGGGACTTACCTCACTTCTCCACATAACCAGCTCGATCCAAGCAGGTCTGATACTGAGACTAAGAGAACACGCTTTTGGATGCTACGCGCGTGGAAGTCTTTAATACCCGGTCAGCTGAAAGACTTCCACGCGCGTGGCATCCAAAAGCGCGTTCTCTTAGTCTCAGTATCAGACCTGCTTGGATCGAGCTGGTTATGTGGAGAAGTGAGGTAAGTCCCTTATTCTACAAAAATTTCTTTGATTTTTCGTCAGTGATGAACGACTGAGGCTTTGGCAGAGAAGCACTTCTCCTGTCGCGGACTTCAAATCCCCGCAGATTCGGCGGGAGCGTCGAGCACCTCGGCGCGTTCAAACGGCTCGCGTTCGGCCGCACATGGTCCGATTTTGTTGCGGTTTGTTTTGTTGAACTCATATACTCATAACTCTGAAATATACTAAGGAAGATTTTGAGCCCAAGTTTTTTAAAATTGGTCCATTTTAATGGATTTTAGAGAGGGGGGATACTTACTTATTGAACGCCCCTCGTAGAATCAGGAATGTCAAGTTGGTGTGTCTAGAAAAACTTTAAAAACGGACTTACAGATGTTTGAGCCGCATGGTTGCTCATGACGTAAGACTTTTCTCCGATTGAAAAAAGTAGAGAGAAGAGAGGTTTGACTTTAAAATGGACGTAGTTCTACCAAACAGACCTATGTGGCGATGAGAAATGTGGGGTGTGCTCGTGGAAGCTGCATAAGAAGCAATGTAAAAGTGGGCGTGGTTCCTTTTGAAGAATTGGAAAAGCGGGATTTTACATTCTATCAAACAGACCTATGTGCCAACTGAATGCGGAACTCATGAGCCACGGGCATGGTAAGAGAGCCTTGTGCACAGGGCTCACGAGTTAAAGCGCCCCGACGACCATCTCCCCGCCGTTAGAGTGCGCACTCATTGCCGCTGACGTCACTGGCGCACAATTATTCCCATTCACTCTTACGCAAAGAGAACTAACGAGCACACCCCACATTTCTCACTTGCACATAGGTCTGTTTCGTAGAAATACGTCCAAATGATTCTTTTAATGCACCTAGTTCCGTTTGGCAGAAATCGTCCGTTTCACAGTCGCAAGGAATTGGCGTGAATATAATTCCAGAGGCAAACAATTTCTGAAAGAACTTTTTGCTGCATTTTTTTTTTTTTTCCAATAAATCGATTGAATGTCGCAACAAACCATTCAAGCAGTTGAGCTGCTCAGAGCAGAAACGATTCTCAAGCGAAAGGTTTAACATCAGATGAGGTCTCTTTTTGCTTCATGAAGATAAAAGAACGAATGAAAGTTTTTGTATAATGCATTCAAAGTTGAAGATATTTGCAATGCAACTATCTTAACGTTGCTTGTCGTGTTCAAAAATTGAAGGCACTTCATAATCGTCCTTCACTATGTCCGAGTCGTCCAGCTTTCGGACAATAGTATGTCTTATATTATGGCATTGGCTTTCAAGATCAATTGTCTGGCGGATAGTGAAAAATCGTAGAACAACCATGTTCAAGTTATTAAAGAAAAGAATACATTCAAAAGTCGATGGGTGCACGCGAAAGAAAGCGTATTTATCTCTGATTGCAACTTTAAGCACCACTTTTATGTTTTATTTTTACTCAATGTTTTTAAAAAGCTACACACAGTTTTTCTGAAAAGTTTCCGCGCATTTTTTTGTATGATCTCAGATAAAAACATCAAAAATTTTGACGCGATATTTTCGTTCGTCCTATTTTCTTTTCATGAAACTACAAAAATCAAACATCATCCGAGTTTCTGAATCGTTACAAGGAGGATACATTTTTTCCCTATAATTTTGGTAAAAACCGAAGCAGAGTCAAGAATAATGACGCGTAGCGAGTTTAGTGGCGACTCCAGCGTCGAGCGAGCCGCTGTCAGGTCAGATATTTTGTCCACCATACCGCGGGTGGTATGGGTAAGACACCGAGAAATTACAAAGCTTAAAGCGCGCACCGCGTTCTGCGCACAATGCATGAAGTATTCCTACAGTCTAGTAAGCGCTAATACCCGCCTCACGTCAACTGAACGACTGCACTGCGTTTTGTGCAATGCGAGAAGTATTCATGCAGTCTTGTAGGCGCTAATATGCGCGGCAGCCTACCACGCTGGTTTGCGCAATGCGTGAAGTATTCATGCAGCCTTGCAGGCGCCAATATGCGGCCGCACTGTGTTTGGCGCGACTATTCTAGCTCGCGTTATAATTATCCCGGCATCGAATAATGGAACATGAGAGGCCCATATTGTATTTCGACACTGCCGTATGAGCATTCCAACGTTGCTTCGTTTCTCCCGATAGAATATTTTTCCCGAGAAAAGTTAAGAAAGTTCTCGATGTTCGCTTTTATAGAGTGAATGGACCATTAAACGAGGTACGAATTTAAGCGCGCTGATACAGGAGTCTTCACCAAAATTTCACGTAGAACACGATTCGCGCAACAAAAACTACTGAAATCAACTCCTAGCCAAGATATTTTACACAAATTCGAAGTAAATCGGCCCAGTAGTTTCCGAGATCGAAGGAGGACAAAATGTCTGGCGGCAAAGACGAAAACATGTCGTTATCAATTCGAGGTAAATTTTGGGAAGTCGGTCGCGCAAACCGAAAAACTGAGGGGTGTTGGTACATCTAGTGCTTGAGAGTTTTCATTTAACTCAAATCCGAAATAAATTCGTCCTATAGTTTCTGAAATCGAAGAAGGACAAACTGTCTAACGGTAACCCGAAAATGTGTCAATTTAAAGAGAGGTAAATTTTTTAACGTAGGGCGCGCAAATCGAAAAACAGAGGGGTGCTGAAAAATTTACAGGTCAAGAGCTTTCGTTTAAAACAAACTCGAATTAAATCGGTCAATAGTTTCCATAATAGAATGAGGACAAAAAAAAGCCTTACAGTTTTAATTATATAGATGATTATTTTTGTCAAGTATTGTGATTTTGACAGTAAGTTTGCAGCGTCAAACCAACTCCAGCTCCTGAAGTTGCAGACTAAAGAGAACATCTGTCATTTGGCGAGGCCTTGAACTAATGGTATACTTCCATGTTGTGTTCTTCCAGTTTACCTTATTCTGCTCGGACCGTATTTTGAACACTTTGGACTCTTGTTGGCATTGAAGGAAAAGCGGTTGCTTGAGAAAGGTAAATTTTGTTGACTTATCTTACTTGATGGAGCCATATCTTACATAAGTTCATTTCAGGGTTGTTTTTGCGTCCGCTGATTTTTCTCCGTTAAATTCAGTCAAAACTAAACGTCTCCTAATATTTTGGTACGTTTTTATCATCGTGTTCAAACTTCAACTCATGGATAACTATTGTACTACACTAAAAAAATAGTCCTCTTCACAAGGCTCCTTAACTTTATTTGTTACCGCTACAGAGGTTTTCGTTATAAGGACTGAGTACTCTGTGCTCACAACCAAAGTTTTGTTCTCACAACAGAAAAGTTCTGTACGAAACTAGAATTTTAATTTACAGAATTTTTTTCTATATTGAAAAAAAATGATATTTTCGAAAATCTTAATTATTTATATTTATAATTTCTATGGCAATATTAATTCTGAGACCAAATATAGTATCCTTAGTAATAGGATGAAAGGGGTTAGGGATAGTTTCCTTCCTATCAAAGAAGGCGCAGGAGCCTTGTGAACAGAAGGCTCTATCATCACCACCGACTATTTTTCAGCGTGTTATAGAAAAATCATCATATTATTAAATCATCTATATGCGAAACACACTAAAAAGTATTGTGCGCTTCATTTCTATCGCAAATTGGTTGATAAAACTTTGTGCTTCAGGCGAATATTTCGTGGTGGGGATCGACACGGAGCTGTATGACCCTGAGGTGGATCCCTCCAAGTACCTGCGCCCGGTGCTGAAAAACGACGCACCGTTGGACCACGAGCTTTTCAAGGCGTACATGGCCATCGTGCCGACGGCCCACGAGGGTTTCAGCAACTTCTCCGACCGCGTCATCGAATGCATGAACCAGAAGACAACAGCCACAGCCTCGGCCGCGTCAGCTTCTGAGCAAGCGTCGTCCCAAGGACAAAGTCCCGCTTCCTCAACGATCAACGAGTGTGCCAAGGAACACAAGCTCTCCTACAGCAACGTCATCAAGGAGTTTCCGCGCAACATCACCATCAAGGTATTCGTCCCAACCGAATAATTATACCTGAGTTGCCACCGTCAGGGAATACCGGGAAAACCGGGAAATGTCAGGGAATTTTAAAAAGTTAAGGAAACCATGGAAATGTCAGGGAATTTTTTTCTTTTATTAGTTTTTTGTGTGCTCCCTTATACATGGAAATATTCACTTTGCTAATAAATATAAAGTAAGTATGAATATACAGATAATCGAGAAGTTCCTAACTTATATACGTGAGTCAGGGGAAATGACGAAAATGTCAGGGAAGTATCTTCCTTTATTTGCTTCCTCGAGTGGGTTAGACGTTTTGAACAAAAAATTTTGCCTGAAAACTATTTCTAACTACATAATGTCTTATTAACAATCTGGCATTTGTTCAACTGTCAGGGAATTTCACTAAAATGTGTCAGGGAAATGCCAGAGAATATAATTTTCTAAATTCTGTGGCAACCCTATATACATATTACATAGCCTTAAGATACATAGCCACGACAGAGTAGAAACTAAAGACATAAGTAAATATAATAGATATTTAGCGGGGTTTTACCTTCTAAAAATTTTCCCTTTTTTACTGCTGATTGTAGTTTTTATTTTTCGTTTTGCTAACAGAACTACTGTGTTATTAGTAAACACAAAAATGAACATTGCATTTTTGAAAATCGGAAGTATCTGAGAATACACACTGAATCAAAATATGGATCGTTATGATTTTATACAAAGAAGACCTGAAATTTTGTACTGGATTCTCATCGATGCACTTCCTATTTCTCCACAGATCAGGCACGAGGCAGCATATCTTTACGATGCCGTTCAGTTGTACGCAATGGCTCTTTTAAAAATGCTCGACCAAGGGGAGGATCCGTATAATGGGTCGGCCGTCTTCGCTCATATTCAAAATAAACATTACCAAAGCGCCATGGGGTAAGTGAAATTTACATCGAGGTGTAAGCAAATTTTTACCATCTCCTTAACTAAATATAATTATACTAGGGGGCCCTGCCCTCTGACCGCTATGCGGCCCAACCCCCGGGAGGGCGCTTCGCGGGCCCTATACGCATATGTATAGGCAAAAATGTTCTTCCATTTTAATACACCATTTTGTGTTCGAGCTGCATCGATTTCAAATTTTTTAACGTAACACTCAGATTTGTAAATGATGAGGAATAGCTGGATGTACATAATTTCATAGTCCACTTACTGGAAAAATTTCCATTTAGTATGTTATTTTTAAATACTTAATTTAAAAAAATATCGGATATATCGACCGTTAAGAGTTAATAATATTTGGTCCGTCCCGACGCGACGCAGCGCCTGCCTTCTCACTTTGTATCTGCTGTTTATCTGCTGTAAATATTAATAGAAATTCAGCAATCAAGTAAATTGACCAATGCCACAAATCGAAGCCGGAAGAATGAGGACAAATTGAGTAAAAACCTTATACCTTGGACCTTGAACCTTGAACCCTGAGCGATGCACCGTTCCTCAACTCTTATTCGAATGAGGAGCCCTTCATGAGCTTTTCCATTGTTTTATTGTTTATTCGAGTCACTCAGGTAGAATCCCACACCTTGACGTTTCTAGCGGAAACGACATATCTCTCACGCTATTAACATTGGACTTAATGACATGAGCTTTAAAAGCTCTACAACATTAAAAGTTCGGGGTTTCATAATTTTTTGCACATCTACATCTACTACAGATGACATACATGTAAAGATCATCCTTATCGGTCCGGCAGTTCGTCAGAAATAGTGCTTCCAAGATTTTGCTTGTAGCTGTATAATATAAGACGGTCCGGCAGTTCGTCAGAAATAGTGCTTCCAAGATTTTGCTTGTAGCTGTATAATATAGATTTTGTGCGCCGGAGATTCCTTGTTATTTGTACCAGTGGCGTGGCGTGCTTTGTGATATATCGATTGATTTGACATTTGAATCTATAGAAAAGGATCGATTATCAAGGTGTTCGCAACGAACACCTGAATAATCGATTCTTTACTACAGCTTCAAATGGAGAAATATCGATAATCGATCATTCACGCCACGCCACTGATATGTAAATACTCTATAGTACATGTGCATGTGTGCATTCACCTCTTCAGAGGTGAAGGTAAGTGCAGTAATCTCTCTCTTTAACGAGAAGTCAGGGGACCAGCCGATTTCCTCACCGTAAAGAGGTTCTCGTTAAAACGACAGTCGATCAGAAAAAAATGGACGATCTTCGACAGCAATGACTCAATAGACTAAGGTACCAGATGAGGTGCAAAATCTCTACGATCCCTCGATCGTAGGCTCACGATGTGCACTGGTCGGGAATGTTGCACACCGCCGTAGATCCGGCTCCGAGAAATTGGGAATATTCAACAAATAAAGCGCGCAGTGTAACGAACGCGTAATGCGTGAAGTATTCCTACAGTCTTGCAGGCGCTGATACGGGTTTCGTGCCGAGCGCGCTGTGTTTGGCGTGATTAGTTTAACTTGCGGAGTCAGCGTTTTTCAATTACCACACTTTTATGCACACTCTGCATGGATTTAAAATGATAAAAAAATAAATTAAGATCTAACTAATTTTCCTCTGTGTATTTACAAGTGGTTAACACCATGCCTGCACCTATTGTGAAACTGCACTGATTTGTCAACTGCTGGAAACTCAAACACAACTTTGAGACAATCTCTCAAAAATTAAACCTCATGCCTTTGAAAAATGTCATAATCATGTAACACTTCAATCAAAATATTATATTTTTTCTACCGTAGAGTACCCCTGAACAAGAGGTCAGCGAATAATTATATCAAAGTCCAATGAATTTTAAGCAGAATACCTGATACAGCCATTCATTAAAACGGTTTGTTTATTATTATGGAGCTGTGGAAAGACAGCGTTGAAGGGTCGCCAAACCACTAAGTCCTCACTGCGTTCCTCTTCTAACGTCATTCAAATTGTCTAACCTTTGCGTGCCTATTCGATGATTACACGGTTTGGTAATCGCGGCGCTCCTGTCAATTTGAAAGGACATGTGTTTATACGGGTCTCACATCAGAACGCTCGACTTTTCCCTGACTTGGTTTATTTGTTTCAGTCGCTCGTTCTATTGAAGGTTGGGTGATTATGTGAAGGAACCGAAACACACGCCGATGGAACTAAAAAGACACATCGTGATTGTCCTGTTTCAAAATTTTAGCCAATGATTGACATCTCAATTGCTTTTGCTTCTCTTTTTACTGGTACAAAACAAAAGAATGAAGAAAAATTATTTTAAAAAACCATTATCTAAAACAAGCGAGAAAGCTCTAATACATTCGTATCAGAGAAGTGATCGACTGTTTTCTGTGTGGGTGCGTTCGGTGCCACTGGTTTTCTGTGAAATCAACTCCCAAGCTCAAAAAAAGCTCTCAAGTTGAGGCCAAAATGGAGGGGATATCCCACGCTATCCTGAGAGTCCACATCTACATCAAAACAAACTCTCCATGCAAAGATAGGGAGCAAACACATTGACAGGGCTGCCACATTAAATGGGGACTCCAAAACTGAAAACACGGCAACCCTGCTAATGTATTTGCTCCCTATCTTTGCATGGAGAGTTTGTCTTGATGTAGAGGTGGACTCTCAGTATAGCGTGGGATATCCCCTCCATTTTGGCCTCAACTTGATAGCTTTTTTTGAGCTTGGGAGTTGATTTCAGAGAAAACCAGTGGCACCATCATGTTTCTCGCGAACTTTTACATGAGAATCAATAGTCAAATCGCAAATTCCTCACACATGCAACAGCTCTATTCTAGAGGCAGGTTGAAATAAAAAGCGCTCCCTAGCAGTTGAGCATTTTAAAAAAGTAGGTTGGTCTCCTGGAACAAGGTCTATGGAAAAGAAAGTGTGCCGGCATGGGCGTCCCTCTGAATGACCAAGAAACACTGTTCACTCTATGCTTTGCTGACGACCAGTGACGAAGTTGGTGGAGGAGTACCGCAAATGGGGCCTCGAGGTTAGTGTCCGTAAGACAAAAAAGATGTCAGTCGGAGGTGATCAGCAAAGCTTAGTCCTGGAGGATGGTCAACATATAGAAAGTTGCGAACAATACAAGTACCTGGGGGTGAAGCTGACTTCGGATGGGAAGCTGGATCAGGCCATTCGGGACCGTATTCTTCTAGGAAGGAAAGCCATTGCCATGCTTAATGGGAGACAATAGAAGACAACAAGAAGAGGATTTTTAACTCGGTTGTCAAGCCTATTATCACCTATGGCAGTGAAGTGTGGCAGTTGAAGAAGCGGACCCAAGAGATGCTCAAGGCGACCGAGATGGATTTCTGGCGAAGATCGGCTGGAATCTCGAGGAGAGAACGTGTCAGGAATGAACGTGTCCGAGAGATAATGGGCGTTGAGGGGACGATTGTGCACGATATCATGACCAAGCAATTGGTATGGTATGGGCATGTGCAGAGAATGGCTGATACCAGGTTGCCGAAGAAGGTGTTGGCTGTTGGAGTGGGTCCCCCCAGGTAGGCGACGGAGAAGGCGTCCAGCCAAACGGTGGGTAGAGGGCATCCGTGAAGAGATGGAGAGATGCCAGCTTCCGGAGGATCTCTACCACGACAGATTCCTGTGGAAAATAGGCGTCGCAGAGCGTTCTAGCGCGCCGTAAAAGCGGCTCATACATACATACATAGGTTGGTCTCCTATTAGAAAAATAAAGTATGAAATGAAGCTCGCAACGTCGCAATCGCAGAAGCATATTTTTCGACTTTAACTATCAATGTTTTTCCATTAACTCAAAACAGTGCTAACCGCGGTCCAGCCGTATGCTAGGTCAGATTAAATGAGAACTGTCAGTGACAACCGCGATAATGTAAAATTCGAGGAGCGTGTCAAGAGGACGCTATATCGGTAATACATGCCCACTCCAGGAGCCTAAGCCACTAATTGAATTACATGTATTCGCCCTTTCATACTTACCCGGCTTTTGAACGTATTCGCTCTTCTGCTGCAATTACTGTTGTCTCTTTTCACTGCAACCACCAGCAACATGGAGAGCACTTAATCGAACCTACTCGAGTCTGAAGAAATTTAAACCTTATTCTGCCGTGCTAAGGAAGAACGCCGTATGAACATCCGAGAGTTGCCACATTTCCTTGGATAAAATGTTTATTTTTTAGGAAAGTTATGAATATTTGTCCTTTAAATTTTCAGAATCTTTAGGTAGAATTGCGAACTAAATTATCTGAAAAATTGGGAGGAAAATATTCATAAATTTACCAGGAAATTTGCGTTTTATCAAAGGAAATTTGGCAACGCCTGGAGGTTCATATGGCGTTTTTTCTCAGCACGGCAGTATTGGCTCCCTTCGTGCAGTAGCTCGCATTCCATCTCCGTCCTGTACTTACAAAACAAGTACTTTGGACTTTGGAGAACCCTTGGTAGCTGATTAAAACAGAAGCTATTCAAGGATTGATGCACCTGGATGAAGGATCACTGAGCAACGGACTTGATATTCTCCCACTCTCTGGCTAACACATAGCGATTACAAGCGGAAAAATGTTTATCACATTTCGTCGTCCTTCTGACGTAAGGGCGGATCTCGATTTACACATGAGCCTCAGAAAGCATGGGATTTATATGTAAAACAGGTTTCAAGTTGAAAATGAGAGACGCCCTTACGTCAGAGACGTCAGCGACGATTTAAAACCACTTGTTCCCTGGACTCAGTGGTTGAAGAGACTTGCAAATTAAAATGCGGCCAAAAACTGTTTTTAAACAATTATTTTGACGTACTCGTTTCTAAAAGGAAACAATGAGAAATCAAAATTATTATCCGTAGATTATAGATATTAAGATAAAATATTAATTAGAGGAAGGTGTGGTGGTGGCTTTGCCATCCCGCACCAACCATTAAAATCATTGCAAATAAGGAATTATTCTTCTCCTTTCGGTTGGGGTACTACAAATAAAAACAATAACTTAGTAAAAAAATTTACAACATCAAAAAATCAGCCGTTTATTTTTTTATTTATTTTTTTTTTAAATAAACTAACAATAAGCAACGCCACAAAATCGATTGCATCACGATTTTCCGAGGCACATTTTTTGATTATAATTTTTAATAATATTTTTTTCGATTGTTTCATAAAGAATTTAGTTATCTATCCCATAAAATAGTTTTTGATACTTAAAAATAGTAAATTTCCCTTTTTTCCTCCGTATTGTTCCGTTGTTTTTGGTGCTGCATTTACGTTCAACCACACTGCATCTTTTTGCACGGTTAGCTTTTCAAACGAAGTATTTTAGTGTGTCCATCATTGGATAATAAAAATTAAAGCACCTCAGTGACAGTAGCACGAAACTTCCACGAATAAAGTAAACTTATTTGCGCGCTCGATTAATCTTGCAAAGTTTATGCTCGGCGCTTGCGAAGTTAGAAGAGCTTTTGCCCCGTAAAAACGAAAGTTTCATCTTCAATACCTGGAGAGGACTCAACGGCGAATTTTATTCGCAGAGGATCCCTACCATTCATCAAGAAACACAGGATTGAGAAAGTAATTTAATCAGCCTTTTTCCTTTTTACTTTCTTTTATCTCTAATTCACTGTAGTAAAATGCAGAGTGTTTCGTGAGGGAAAAAAAGGAAAGTAAATCAAAATGGAAAAGGAAAAATAACATTATGTCTGGTTGATCATTACTGGTCCAGCGTTTGCCCACGCTTAAAAAAAGGGAGAAAAGTTAAAGTATATTTTCTCAGTAAATATTGCCATCTTCAAAAGTTCGAACTCTTGATAATTTAAAAGGCTCGTCAAAAATTAGCTATAAATTTCACTTTTTTAGGTATCCTTAAAATTTCTAAAATAATCAGATGGCCTCCTGAGACAAACTTCAAAAGGCCTCAGGCGGTTCAATTTGAAAAGAGTATATAGGTTGGCCCAATGTAAACAAACAAGATGGCGACAAAGTTCTACAAAGTTCTAGACGCGATTTTGGATGTGATAGAATTTTTTTCATATCCAACTTCTGAATTGAGTTCGGATCGAACTTTGATGGATTTTTTTGCTGAAAATTAAGCTTTGAGTATGATTATCATTCATTTCTCAGCCAATAATACGTATGTATTCTTATCGGTCGAGTTTGTTTACATTGGGCCAACTTTGGAGTTCGGTGATAGCCTAAAACTGATGAACCAATCAGACAGCGGCACAGAGATGGCAATACTCTCCCGTATAAAGGTACTCTAGTCTCTCTGGAGCTCAATTTACCTAGAGTACCTTAGGGAAAGTATGGACTACTCGATTTATGTAGCTCTTATGGCCCAAAAGGGCGACAACGTGAAAAACGAAAATCACTAGAAAAGTGTCGCTGCCAACCTATGCATTTGGAAGGTTACTCAATATGGCCGACAGCACATTATATACAAGCGCCTTTAAGGATTAAAACTTTGAAACTGAGAAATCGTAAGCGAAATGAAAGTTTCATACGTGCTTTTATAATTTTTGATCGGTGTAAATAGTCAAAATGTGAAAATTTGTACCACTGGATAATTCGAGTTCATAGGTTGGCTCCCCTTTTGGGCCCCAAGAGGTAGATGACCTGATCAAACCTAACCTCTAAATTTTCGAGTTGTCCATACTCTCCCTATAAAGGTACTCAAAAACCAACGCGACTCAAAACTGGTGTTGAATGATGCAGAGACGTCTATGTTCCAGATACATGGTGCACATCGATGAGAACGGAGATGCGAGCGGTTATTACGTGCTGCTTCACATGGAGCCACTTCGAGAGGTGGACAAGCGGACGAGGAACGTGTGCAACGACGGCAAAGACCTCCTCAAAAGACCCAACAGCAAAGGCGGCAACTGCACCCAGAGTGACTACGGCTTTTACCCGGCCGGCGACTTCGTCCTCGTCTCCAACTCCACTGACCTGCCGGTGAGTTCTTCACTATCCCCGTCTCTTTGAATACATGAATGTATAAAGCCGCTATAATTGTGCTCTCTGACGCTTTGCGACTCCTAGCCGGCAAAGTCTCCTATTCTCCCAAAGCCCTTCAGAGAGTTGGCAAACCCTCATTTCTTCTAAAACCCCTTGCCGCCACCTTTTCACTGGGTCCCCTTCGTCTGCGTCTTCTCTCGGGAGGAACCCAATCAAGCAACTTCTTTGGCATCCTTCCGTCCGTCATTCTATTCACATGACCATACTAGACAAGCTGTCCGGCCATGACGCCGAATATGATGTCATTTTCGACTCCCATGGTCTGACTCACTCTTTCATTGCAGACCCGATCTCTCCTAGAAATTCCTGCAGACCTCCTCTAGAAATCCATCTCCGTTGCTCTTAGCATCCCCTGTGTCCGTTCCTTCGGCTGCCAAACTTCGCATGAATACTTCTCTGAATACATTTCTTGCAAAATGAACGGGGCAAGGATTTTCCTCCCGCGCTTACATAGGAAAAAACAAAGTTATCTTATCTGCAACGGGAATTATCTCATGATGACCAATAGGCTACACCCCCTATAGCCTCTCCGCCGACCTCTCGTGTGTCAATAGATGAAGTGGGTTTATCTAGGGACGATTTTCTTGGAAACCCTTTATACTGAGAGTAAAGACGATGCGAATCCATTTCTGATTGGTTCCTGTATTTTAGGCCTTCACGGTGTCACAGGCGGGAATAAAGATTACATTTTCACCAATTTATTGCAAAAATTATAAACCGGAATGGACCGGGGAATTGGGGGTACGGCAAGGAGCAAATGGAATGAGAGAGGGAACGGAGACGGGCATTCGGGAGTGGGTCGATCAAAGATTACAAAAAACGTCCAATTTGTGTAATCTTTATTCCCGTTTGTGACATCCATAAGCTGCGTTGTTTCAACTCTCTATAGAGGGACTCTTATTTTCTACCGATGACCGGAAGCGATTGTCCAAACTATGAATTATCAAATATTAATAATATATCCTCAGGATTATGTAGTATGACTAATAATAATGATGCTTCACCATCAGAAAGAAAACAATTTTATGAAGATTACTTCACGAATCATTACAAATTAATAAATACGTGTAAAAATTAAGGAATGTTACAGGCACAGAAAGAGACCTAATAGATTCTCTCAATGATGGCGCATTGACTGAAAAAACAATTACCAGCAATCTAAATAACCTCGAGATTTATTTATCACGATGAAAAAATTCAAATACGTCCCCGCTACAAAACGGCTTCAAAATAACTTAGGTAGCAATGGGACTCAAATACACATATCGTGTGGCTGGGCTCTCGACAATCGCAATGAAGCGCGCCATTAACACATTCGATTCACCAAGAACAAACAAGAGGGTTTTCCCAAAAGGAAAGATGAAACTCAATTTAAGGCCTCGCATATGGTCCTTGGAGATACAATGTCTTCCATGAATATATCATTTGCAAAATCTCAGAAACTCATTCAGCAATATTATGTTACCTCTTCACGCGGAATATTTCGGGGAAGGCTAAAATTTTAGAGTAAACTCACACGATCAGATACAAAATGATGATGCACACGCAGCTAGAACTTATCCTCTAATCTCTTGTTGGTTTTCAATGGACCAATTGAATCGGGTGAAACCGCTAATGTCCATTTGTCCATTTGTCTTTAGTGTTTTTGAGTTGATAATACTTTGAAAGAGTTGATACAACCATAAAAGTGATGAAAGGACTCGTTTTGGGAATAAGGTAACCCGGAGACGAATATTGGAACCACTTCCGTAGTTGCATCCAACTCCGAAAAGTATTATCAACTCAAAAAAACTGAAGACTGGAAAAATGGACATGAGCGGTTTTCGCACGTCCCGATTCACCTGATCCAATAAACTTTCGTCTGACTGTGGCCCATGTATGAAAAATATCCTTACAAAATGTCAGCTTTGTATGTTTTGAAAGATTAAAGTCCGCGTAGATTTCTTGCAAGCATTGATATTGTGTCTCGAGGCCCTCTTTAATTTCAACATCGATATTTCGATAGGAATAACTAAATCCCCGTAGGCACCAAATCTCTTTGACAACAGCAATTTCCTAGCAACGATGAGCGGAAAATTCCATATGATAAATTATAATAAGTCTTCATAACTGATTTTCTTTGTTATAATGAAAATCTGAACAAAAACCGAACTGTATTTTAGCGTTGAATTGCAGTCTTTAAGCCCCCCCCCCCTCCAAGAAACCCAGAGCTTTCCCTCCGTGCTGGTCCGAGTGTTCCCGCTACGATCTCACGATCCACGATCCCAACATTTCTGCGGCGTGTAGGGCTGACTATATAAAATCGGGAATGTTAAACAATGATTTATTAAATCCTCTGCTGCGGAATGTAAGCATACATAGTGAGGGAAGAAGTTATACTTTCGAAACGAAAAAATCATCTATGAATGTATTCAATTGACAGCAAGAAAAGGGTCAATTGAAGTATTTGTCTGTCCTCCTCAAATTGAAAAATCTGAAGTTATACCGAATGTTTTAGCTCGTCATCTTGAGTAGACTTAGCAACGTAAAGAGAGTGGCCTGACTTAAAAGTTTTTCAGCAAGCTTTTCATTTGAAATAAGCTCTCGGGCTTGGATCTGCTTTAATAATTTTCTCCAGAGAGTTCGAGGGGTTGGAAAAAATGAGCAGGTTATTACGAGAAGTCGGGCTATTAAGTGCGGCTTTTTGCAACGAATCAAGATGTCACAATGATAAAAAAGAGCTATTCCTTTTTTAAGCAGGGTTTAAAAACTAATAGAAACTCAGCCCATGTCTTGGTGTTAAAATTTTCCATTTTTGTCTTTTTAATTATTTCTTCTTAACTCTATTGCTTAAGAAGGAAGAAAAAAAAATGTATCACGCGACGCAGACAATGCCAGTATTTATCATACAACTTATTATGTGCATTATTCTCATGTAATAAAAAATGTGGCAGTTGCGCCGTTCGAGAACGACAGTTATTTCTTCAAGTGGGGTAATCTGTTAAGCAGGTACTCTCCGGGTCTACCTTGTTACTTGTTTTAAACCAATCCTCAACTTCTGCATGCCGAACAAAGCAGCTTAACCTATGCTAATTTGCCGACAAAGCTAACCCAACACAATCCCTAAGCTCATGATTTGTCTATCAAAGTATCCACCCTCTTAACCGTGCTTTAATCGTTTGAAATCTCGTTAACAACCTGTTTGCGTTGGCTTTGATCATGTAAGCTCCCTATGCGTGGTGAATGCAAACTGCATTATAAGCGATCGATGCACTTGATGAGCGCGAGGGGTCCATAACCACTTTGTGGGTAGCTGATTTACCAAGAAAGTCTAATAGAGCGAACGTTTTATAAAAATATGGATTTACTTATCCATAAGAGGTTTTTTCGATATGTAGTTGCGTAAAAATGTAAAAAATGACTTAACTCAATGCTCAAAAAAAATACTACTCACTTCAATAAATTGAAAAAGGGTCTTGCAAGTTTTGACTCATATTTTGTCCCTTGAAGTTGGAATCCTACATACAGTTAAACTCACCATTTTTGTTGTTAGCGACTGAATATCTCGATTACGTAACTAGTCGTCTCGTTACGTGAACGGGAGAGTGTATACCTAATACTAATGTAAAATGGTTAAACATGAAGAACTTTGACCTCCCCATAAATCAAAAGCGATCCGTTTACTCAGTTCATAATTTTTATCTACATGAGAGGATCCCAAATGTATACAAAAATAGTACTTAAAACTAAAACCCTGATTTCAATGGCAAAAAACGGGCTAATTTTGGCCCTTTTTCCAAGCCCTTATTCTCATGAGCTTTTGGTGGAGGTATCTGATGCATTTGTTTTTGTTCCAGTAGGAGCTCCGACTGCTATCCGAAGACATCCTGTATTGGATTAACGGGAAACCTCCCGCTGCAGAACCAAAGTGTGGCTTCAAAGGAGAGAAATGCCCGAAATGTGAGTTGAGTTTATATAGTCAATCCTATAACGAGTCATTTTTTCTTTATTATAGGCTACTGTTTAAAAGTTGCACTACATAATTTGCAATTGGCAAATCACAACAAGATGGAATAATTATTGCGCTATACGAAAAAACATAAGCAACGCGCCAATCAGAGTGGGCAGCGATAGGTTTATTGCCGAAGTATTTGGTCATTTGTGATGGGAGTTGCAAAAATGGTCCCTAGGTCAGTTTTATAGAATGTAGAATTGAGCAGAAAATACAAATTAGAGTCATAATTTCCAAAACTCTTTTCTCTTGGGAATCTACCCGCATATTCGAGAGAACCATTTAAGCTGGGTTACTTTTAAAAATCCTACATAGAACCAACCTAGATTAAAGGAGAAGAATATAAAGTCCGAGTTGAACCTTCTTAAAGCAATTACTGTACTCAAAATCTTTGACAAAAGAGTTTTAAGAAATCGGAAAATTCGGTCATCTTTGAGTCTTCGTTTAAAAACATGTGTCTTAAACGTCCAGTGTCAAACTATTTTAGGTCTAAATGTGCCAAAAAATTAATTGGCGCGTATACGTAGTATACCGCCTTTGCGATCGTTTCGACCCCCCCCTCGATACAATAACCGAGTCCCCTAGTTCCTTACCGAAAAGTGACTACCGCGAACTTCTGAGATTTTCCAAAGCGTGTAAAAAGTTTACTGATCCGTCAATAATAATGATTAAAATGTGTTTCTCATTCTGGGGCTCGCTAGTTTATGTGTAATGAATACCAAGAGTCTACGTTTCTTGGTTTTTTTTAAAAAAACCTTAGAATGGGGCGCGCTGATTTAAAATATGCATATATAAGCGGAAGCAAGCGAACTGATTCGAGGATGGCTGACCAGTTCCTTGAATGAGAATTTCACTCACTCCGTTTTGTTCACAACGTTGCTTTGACATATCTCCACAACACTGTTATCCTTTTCAAAAGTTGGTACTCCTTGCTCTGATAGCCGGGGCCCGGGGCCACCAGGATAGTGGTAAGTGCAATCTGTGATGAGCCTCGAGACTCATTAGACCATTTGCTAAACGTGGCTCATACAGGAGTCCACTAAGCCCTCTCGTCCCCACGCTCCTGATCACTGCGTCGGCGTCACGAAGAACAATGGGCCTTGGGTCCCAACGCGGCCGATACCCGTACCCCAATTACTCACGCTTCATTAACCATTTCACCGTCACGCTAGGATTCATCCAATTTTCAAAAAAAATTGTTTCGCATGTATTTAGCAATTTTTTCCTTACTCTCCGTTAAAACACAAATAAAAAGAGACCTCATTCATAAAAATCGGCCGAATAGAAGAGAAGTTACAGTAATCGAAATCCGAAGAAATCAACAAAACCTCGACTCCTCGATACGAAAAATAAAATGAAGGGGAAAAAAAGAAAGTATAAATTACAATTAAATATAATTGACCTCAAAATTTGACAAACAATTCATTTATATACCTAACGCTGAAAAAACTGGGAGAAATTACAAAAAATTTGCCTCTTGCAAGGGGCTTCTTTGTAAGAATTTTGACCTGAAGACAACGGTCGAATAACAGCAGTACTCCATACAATACACGGTGTGCCTGAACGAGTTAAACATTTTT